AGCCCTCCCTCCTCTCTCTCTCTCTCTCTCTCTCTCTTTTGTTTTGAAGCCATTTATCAACCACTTTCTCTATTTGTTCTGATTTCAGTGTGTCCTGCAACTATCCCAACAAGAACATCACGTTTAAGGTGGACGAGGCCAGTAACTATCCTCACTACCTGGCCTTCCTCATTTGGTACCAGCAAGGCAAGAAGGACATAATCGCAGTGCAACTATGCGAGGTACCCTCTCATCATCCACACCATCATCATCTTCATCAGTGTTTCACAAATCAGAATTGGCTTCAACTAACGAGTCGAATTCTGAGTGCCCCGGTTTTAGTCAAGCGCTCCAGGCTATGTTTAAGTAAGAAGTAGAAAAACTAGAAAATTAGGAGAATAATGATTCCGGGGTTTTTCGATGGGGATTCGCCAGCCTCTGGATCCAGTCACACCAACAATTTTCAAAACATCGAATCATCAACGTCTAATACAACTTTGCCTAGTTTCAAAGGCAAGTCATCTTAGAATAAATACACAGACAAATAAGAGTGAGTTTTATATAAGATGTCAACCTTAAACACTCAAGTAACCACCATCTTCAAATTCCTTTGGAAAATGCAGTTTTAATGTCAGAAGCTTAAGATGATTTGAAAACCTGTTTCCACACGTAACTGGGAAACTTAAAGTTCTAAAAACTGGTATCCTCAAGAAGATATATAAACACTTAGAAAACCTTTAAAAAAGACGGTCCAAATAAAGTTTGACAAAATGAACTATTTTTAGAACTTAAAATGTTTTCCTTTTCCCATATCCATATATCTTGAGATCAATATGATCAATTACAGGTACAAGTAGGGTTGGCAAGTCTGGGCCTGCCTAATCTTAGCCCTAATGCCCATAGGGCCGGCCCTAGCTCTATCAAAGTCAGACCGGGCCAAAAAAACAAAAAACAAAGGTCAGGCCAGCATGTCCATCATGCCCCATTTTGTGGCGTAGGCCCTAGTTTGTTAGGGCCAAGCTAGAGAACCCAGTCCATTGCCACCTCAAAATTTAGAGGTTTTCTAGCGTCAAAGCAAACCTTTTCTTGTGGGCTTTTGAGATGCACCTTATTTCATTATTTCTGCAGTTGGCACCTTACATAAATTTTTGGAAAAAGTTGATATAAAGCCAAGATGCATGGATATGAGAAATAAATGGATTTCAAATTCTAAAAATAATGCATCTTGTAACGTATTCTTGGATCATCAATTTTCAAGATTTTCATACATCTGCTCGATCTACACTATTTTTTAAGCTTTAAAACTTATAAATTAAAGATGAAAATGCATTTGAAGGCTATCACAAAGATTTCCAGCATTGAAATCATATTTCTCGACACTATTTGAAGGTGCGCTTTACTTTGATTATTTAGAGGATCAGCTCTATACAAACCTCACCCTTTTATGTTTATGGGTACGTGCAGACTAAAAATCTTGAGTGTAAGCTGGTTGATAGAAGCCATGGAGCAGTTTGGGCCGTGAACGAACCACCAAGTGGACCTCTCTCTATAAGGCTTTTAGTGAGCGGTGGGGAAGATGGAGATGAGACATGGGTTGTTCCTACAAATACTTTGCCTCAAGATTGGAAGGCTGGAGAGGTGTACGACTCTGGTTTGCAGATGGATTTGTGAAAATTTTCTTGAAACTTCAGAGTGGTGATTTACCCCTCTAATTAACATATTTATGCAATTGAATAATTCAATATGGAAACCAAAATTGGGTTGTATGCTAGTGTGTGTCATGAGGTTGTAGCGATTTACATTCAAAGGAGGTTGTTGTAGTGATCTTGTTTGTTTGATTAGTGTATTCATATTCTTCATTTTTAGAAATGAATTTCGATTTTTCAATTCCTCTCGCTCGTTTGGACACTTGCACGTGTGAACATTGTTGGAGGATTATCTCTTTTGTTCGTTGTGGAGTAATCACTATTCATCTTCAATACCTTTTAACGGTAAGATCTATGGCCTTAAAGTGAAGGGCAAGCTTTCTATCCTCCCCCTACAACATAAAACTTATATATCCTTCCCTTTATCCAATCGTCCATTCTGAATGGAGGGCTGAGATTGTCTCAATCACAATGTCACGTCTTTACACTATTGTATTTTTAATTTTTTTTTCTATAAACTATTTTGACACTAAATTTTGGACGTCCAATCCTCTATTAAACTTGCACTAGCGAAAAATATTACAAATATATTTTCAAGAAACTAAAATAACCAAAATACCCCTGAAAGTTTCAAGGGGTATTTTGCGCATTATATTTTATCAAAAATTTATTTTTAACCTTTTTTATAGGTGCACCCCAATGAGAAGATGGCACGTACCAAATTTCATATTCATACAATTTGTATAAAAAAAACTAAAAATAAAATACTTTGAAACGTTGGATCTAAGATCAAAAGGTGAGTGGCTCTCTTGATCAAAATTGGACGGCTGATGACAGGGGAAGCATAGATCTTCTATGTTGTGGGGGAAATCCAAGAGCAAAGATTCTTAGTGAATAGGGCCATGGCTAGGGCCATACTAGAGTTGGATGGGGTTGAGTATGATCAAAATTGGGTAGCTGGATGGTAGGAGAAGCATAGGTCTTCTATGCTGTAGGAGAAATCCAAGAGGAAAGATTATTAGAGAATAGAGCCCTAGCCAGGCCCCTACCAAAGTTGGATGGGGTTGAATATTGGTTCATGTCAAATTGGTAAATACATGTAATATATATATATAATTGATTTCATGTCTCTGTGTTATTATAATATAATAAAACCACACTTTTGGAAAATTATGTTTGTGGCAATTATAAGACCTTAAATTTTGTACACACTCTCTTCATCCCAATACTCAATCCTAAAAAAAATGGAATTCAATTTTTACTCTAAATATGGTCAAAATGAATGTCCTCAACAAAGAATTTCAACCATCCATTTGGTGAATTTTAGATCTAAGCCTTTACTAATTCAAAACCATTTTATTTTAACATTGTTAACCAAAAGACAATAATGTTATTTAAAAATTTTGAAAAGAAAAAAATAAAAATCCTCATACAACCTAAATCTAAGCATTTCACTAAACTAGTCAACCTATATTAATTGGGCTTAAAAAATTGATTTCAAATTTGCTTTTTTGTAATTGTTCAAAATGAAAAAACTATATACTTAAAAATTGGTGTCAAACAAATGGCAGTAGCATGATTTTTTAATAATATTTTTTTATATTATTATAGAACCATTGCATGAAATCACCCCTCTAACACACACCCACACGCATCTCAACTTGGGTCCCAACCCAAGGTCTAGGATGGACCTGACCCAACTTGCTATTTCCCTTAATAGGTTTCGACCCGGCTCCAAGTGGATTCGACCACTGGCTAGTCAATTTGAACGATGATTCACATCCATTTGGGAGCGCACACACACATAGGAAGAACATGGAATAATGCATACACATTTGAAAGATGATTCACATCCACTTGGGAGCGCGCACACACATAGGAAGAACATGGAATAATACATCTGGTGTAAATAATAAAAAAAGCAAAATATTCTAACAAATCATTTATTATTGATATAAAGAGATCACAATCACTCTTGCCAATCGGATTTCAGATCAGGCAGTTGTGAGTATATAATTGACTAAGTTCAAAGCATTCTCAAAGTTCTTGACACACCCCCAAGCTGTCTTTTTCACCAAGAATATTAGTTTGCAGATAAAGCATATTGGGGAGACTACTACAATGCAATGCCTGTTGATCATGTTTTAAAAACCTAAGCATTGGGTCAAACGAGCCGGCTCAACTGGTTCCAATCCCCCGCTCAGGTAAGGGTGACAACAGGTCGGGTTGGGTCGGGTCTGGGACCAGCCGGACCTAGACCCTGAAAAAATGATATGAGACTTGGACCCAACCCCAAAATTAAAATATCTATGTATTTAACGATATTTAAGTATATTTCATAAATTGGGACCCAAAAAATATTACCGGACCAGCACCTGATTGGTTTTTGGGTCCAAGATTTGGACCCAAACCCGACCCGCCATGTCCAATTTTTGGACCCATACCTGGACCCAGATTGGGTCTACCCCTAGAGTCCCGGTCCATTGCCACCCCTACACTCATGAGATTTTGGAATTGAAAAATAAAAAAAGAAACAAAAAATCAGGTTCTTTAGACCTGGACAGAACATCCACCGGAGAATGGGGTCTCACCAGAGAATGGAGCAGAACGAGCTATCACATTCTTCATCTCTAAATGGACAGAGGAAAAGCTTATGTTCCTTCAAAAATGCTGTGTCCGAAATCCAAACAAGGCCCTTTGCATTTGACCTTGTTTAAGGAGGATTTCAATTTACTATGGCGGTATGGCCACAGAATAAAATGAATTTAAGCGATAAAAAATGGTTTATGAAAAGATTCATGATTGAGATGATAGACCCAGAGCTTTGGATCCTCAATCCATCTGCAAGATGGGATGGGCTTTGGAAGGGTGTATTCACCACCACCCAAGCCATCCTAAAAACTCAACTCTTGAAGGAAGACCTAAATACGGTTTCTATGGGCGATTTGGGAGTTATGATTATGTGTCAAAAAAAGTTACCAAACATGCATGGTTTTTAATACCCTAGGATACAAAACGAGACGAAAATTAATAATCATAAATGATAACATTTGCATAATCCCTAACCAAAATTTAGGAAACTCTACCTCCTTTCCCGGTGATTTTAAGTTTGTTGTTCCTGTTTTCTCGCCCTTGAGCTTCTCCACTGCCCATCGGTTTCTCACTGATAACGCACTTTTCTCCCACCCCCTCATGTAACTCTCCTCATCATCGCCTCTACATATTTTGCTCAACTCAAGTGCATTCGCTCTCTAGTCAGTCAAGACAACTGACAGGACAGCAATGTCAGGGATTCTCCACTTCAGCTGCATACAAGTTGAAAAATGAAAAGTCACCACTAGAAAGATGAATTAGGCCCACCTCGTTTATGCATAAAATCTCTCTCTCTCTC